CATCTATCATTGGGGTTCTAAATTCTTATCACCTCTCGTTACTCTGTTATTATTAGAGGAAAAGAAAACAAATAGAAGCAAACTACAAAAGCCCTGTGGATAAGACCTTCGGAAAGCACATCCGATCCAACTCTCCATGTTTAAACACACACATAAAAATAAGAGAATATGCAAGATTTGTCCGGGTTAATTGTCGTCCACAAAACGAAAAGACGTCGTGGACCACAAATTTCAAGCAGATGCTTGTTGCTCACGTTATGTTATGCTTTGATTTGATTGTTCCTTTTTAGAACATTCATTTACGTGAGGAACTAGCCTAAATTAATTGGGAAACATGTGAAAATCTTGTAGCTAGCTTTTCACCGTGCACAGGAAATCAGTGAATGAAAAATGGCACAAATTGAAAGTACTCGTGGGTTAATACATCTTTTTATATGGGTCTCTCTGATAAGACTCAACCATATTTTTTCTTCTGTCAAGTGACGAAGTTAGAACAAATGGAAGGAGTTACACCTGCCTTATAGATGCGTAGACTTGAGTTGCAACCATGATGAAAATATAATCAATGTCATTCTATTTTTTGGGGTGCATCTGCACCCACATGTATATAGCTTCACCAATGCTTCTATCTCCAGATCTGCTAGCGCACTTTTGATCTTGACAGTTGATGTGTCGATCAGGAAAACAGTTCATTTGACTTTTGATGCGGTGGTTTCGATCTCTTTTGCCAGTTTGTTCTACAACAAAGTTTGATTTATCAACAATCAGGCTTTGAAGGATTGTAAGCCTATACTATATTCCCTGGGTGTTCATCTAGCCGATGTTCTTTCAATGTATACTAGAACTCATTGCCATCTATCAGTGGCTTTTATGGTTTTTCAGAGCCTTGTATGACGAGGGGGTTTGTAGAGGGTTTGAAGCAAGAAGACAACCTGATTGATCTTTGATGTACTCTTATTTCTTTAAAGTTGTTTTGTGTAAAGATATCTATCATATGTATTATCATCCATTTGTTTTCTTGACTAAATATGAGATATGAGTCACTAGAAAATGTTTTTTTGTTAATAAAAATGGTAGCTTTGTATCTAAGGCACAAGAGCATATGTGTGCACACATATATCATTCGTGAAGAAATTGAAGTATGGCTGCTCTAATAACTCCTATATTAATGTATGCACTTTCGCTAAATGAATTTGGAGCATAAGTCCAGTCTCAATTGATAGTTTCATTGCGTTGTTTCTAAGAATGCCATGTCATATATAATAAAATAAAATTTGGATGAAACACCATCCCTCAATGTAAAGTTTTATTCTAGGGTTTCATAGATATTTAATTTTATGACTCAGAGAGAGTTAGTAATCATGCCAAATGAAACTCATTTCTTCTCTCTTCTTAAATACACTGCCATGTCATCAAAAATGCATATGTGACAACCTATCTAATGCAAATGAAGCTCACATTAAACTCCCACTGAGATTAGCCTAACCCATGAGCACGAGCCAACATGCATTGCTCTACTATCGATGTCTTGATCCTTTTGGCATGCTAATTCGTCTAGGCTAGCCATTCTTGTGTGATAAATTAATTAAACATAGATTCGTGACCAGGAACCTGACTATTTGTGCCTCCTGTTGATAAATACCGTCTCAAAAAAGCATCTAATTCTCTATGTATAGCCACACAAACACAAACAAAGAGGGAATAAGCATGATTCTCCTAGTTAATTGACATCCACAAGACGAAAACGTCGCGTGCCACAATTTCATGAGAACCCCTTTTGTTGCTCACGTGGAGAGCGGCTTATGTTGGATGATTGTTGGTTTCAAGAGGATCTCTACAAGCTTCTTAAAAAATACTCTAGCTAATACTCTACAATAAACAACTCCCTCTATTACAAATTACAAGTCTTTTATGCTTTTCTAGATACATTGATTTTGCTATAAATGTAGATGTAGTATATATCTAAGTGTGTAGGAAAAAAATGTCTATAAAAGATCGAAACGACTTATAATTTGGAATGAAGGAAGTAATAATTATGTCAATTATGGATAGGGAGTTTTTTTTATCTTTTTTCAATAGTTTTAGTACTTATAGCTTCCTAAAACTCAAAAATTAGGTGGGAGGAGAAAACACCGGACAACAAAAAAGGAGGAAAACCATGGTGGTGGGCTCACCTGAACGGATAGTAATCACACAACGCACACCTATATTTGTGGAGAGGATTTACCAAGAGCTTGTCGTTTACATGCAAGACTGTTTGTTTGAGTCTTGCCTTTTTCTTTCTTTCTTTTTTAGCAAAGAGTTTTAAGAACTCTTAGAAATGATCCTATCTGTAGACTATAGGTGAAGAAGAACTATCCTAAATTCTTTTTTTTTTTGAACTAACTATTCTAAATAAACTCTTTACCTAGCAAATTGATTACTTAACGATAAATTAGCACCAGCGAATGAGAAGCCGTCGGAAAAACAAAAAAAATAAAGAAGAGAAAAGATGTGGCGTGGGTTAGTTAAAAATTGGCAGCCTTGTTCCCGAGGCGGGGGCGCCTTGGATCTCACGCCCACCCACATCTTTGATCTTGGCCAGCATCGTCCTGACACCCACGATGCACCGACCACGTTCTGTCCCCTCAGATTTTGTCTGCCCCGCGCTGCCGCGCATCGCATCGCACGCAGGCAAATGACGAAACTACCCCGCGCTGCAGTGGTCCCATCCCACCTCCCTTGGCTGGCCCCGCGTGGTCGTCGTCGTCGACGGCTACGTACAGCTCTCTTGTATGAATACGCCCTGCCGACTTCGCCGCCGCTACGCACGCTGCGGACCACCGACAGTGCCGTAGACGTCCTCCCAGCCGTTGGATCGGCCCGATCGATGCGGAGCGGTAGTTGGGGCGCGTGCCCCGGGCCCGCGTGGGCTGGAGGCCCATTCCGTCCGGGTGCTGGATTGGATTGAATGGAAAAAGGCGGCGGCCACTGCCTGAGTGCCACGGTGCCACCTCTCTCTTCTCCCTCCCGCTTTAAAAAGCTTTCCTGGATGCTCATTGCTGAAGCAAACGGGGGCGCACGCACGAGACGCCGAAGAGCTGTGAGGTGAGTGACCAACTGACCATGGGATGGTATGGGACTGGGCTCATGAGCTGTCCAGTGCAGGTTTATCATTGCTTTGCTTGCTTCAACCTGACCTCACCTAACTCTAAGCTACTGTTGCTTAAAAAAAAACTCTAAGCTACTAGTCTCCTGTGCAGTCGTAGTCCCAACAGCTCAGCTCAGCGATTGATCGCTGCTCTTTCTTATCCTTGTTTGTTTAAGCAAGGTTTCCGGATGAGTGCGCAAGGATGGGCATGGGCTGCTTTGAGGATCATGAGTGAGATCGTGGACCCTTCGCAGTGTGGGCTGCAGGCCCATCTGCAAAGCCCATCCACCTTGCCTTTTTTTTATCGTCTACACTATCAGGTCGTGTTTAATCTTTGGTTATTACTTCCTGGAGCGAAGCACTACGGAGTATACCACTGTCTGTGTCTCGATTTTTAACTACATCTGCGCCAGAAGACACCAGTGGGAAGGCATCACGAATGAAACATAGTACACTGAGACCGCCACTTTCGTTTTCCGCCAAACCGCGACCTAAAACTTAATTGTACTCGCACACGCCCCACCTCGATCATTCCGTGTCTTTATACACGGCTGCCACGTACGTACGTGGTGCAACAACCAACAAGCCATCAATGGCCGTTGGCATCGGGAGGACCGCCGCGTTGCTCACGGTCGCCGTCGCCGTCATCCTCGTCGCGGCCACGCAGGTGGCAACGGCGGCCTGCCGCGCGGTGGTGGCCGCGGCGCCGAGCGACGGGGAGGTGGAGGCGGAGCTACAGTGCGTGCGCAGGTGCACGACGGAGATGCTGGCGTGCGCCGCGGCGTCGGGCTGCGCCAGCGCCACCGTGTAGCGGCGCCGGCGGGGCGGAGGAGCGAGCGGGGCGCCGTGCGGCGGCGGAGGGTGCGAGAGCGAGTACCTTGGCTGCATCCACGTCTGTTGATGACACCGTTGCTCTGCTATCCGTTTCTTTCTCGTTTTTTCTGTCGCTAAAAAATGTTAATCATGTCGCGTCACCTACTGTTGTACGTACTGGGCAGAATACAGATTTCTTATGAAGCCGGTGTCTCCTGGGTAATTAAACGATGAAGAGCAAAAACAAAAGAAGTTTAAAAGTCGTCTGATACAAAAACCAAAATTGGGTAAAGAAATGATGAAGTTAAAAAACAAGTCATCTGAAAAAATATATATAAAAGAAAGTCGTCTGAAAAAAAAATAAAAAAATAGTGAAAAAAATATAAAAGAAAGTCTAAAATATGAGTGTTGAGAGTGGGATTTGAACCCACGCCCTTTCGGACCAGAACCTTAATCTGGCGCCTTAGACCAACTCGGCCATCTCAACTTGATGGCCGAGGTTTGCAAGTAAATTATACATGTTTTCATGAACTCCTTTTTCCACAATATCGGTTGCGGTAACTAGAAGCAGGTACACGGCGGCGACGCTGGTTGCGAGGTCAGGCCACTTCTGACTGTGACACACTGTCGAAACCCGATCGATCCATGCAACACGGAACGAAGAAGTGGACACGGTGCGTGCAGGTCATCAGGTGCATGTGTGATGAGCTCGCAGCAGCTGCTGCAGTAGGCCTGTTACTTTCTGTTCCGCTCACACAGATGTTGCTGCTTGCGGCAAGTGAGCACGACGTCCATCTCACTCTTCACACATATCTCATGCACAGCTGGCATGCACGTTCCCCCCAGGCAACGCCAACTCGATCTGCTGGGCTAGCTAGGCTAGCTAGCTCCTCCTCGCGTCGCGTCGCGTGTATATATATACAGATGCAAATCCGGCTCAATCCAACGCAACCCAGCTAGCATCGATCTATCGATACACCTGCACCGGCCTTCGTCTTCACTCTTCAGACTTCAGAGGTCGATCGACAGCTCCGAAGAAGGTACGCGTACGTGCATCATGAAGGCTGTCGCGGCGATGCTTCTGCTGCTGGCGCTCGTCCATCATGCAGCAGGAGGTCACCACCAAGGCCACATCTGGCGCCACGGCGACGACGACCACGGCGGCCACCACCGGTCGCCGTCCCCTCTGGCCGGGCTGACGCAGTGCGTCACCATCTGCGGGTCCGGGGTGACCTCCTGCATGCTGGACTGCTACCAGCCGCTGATCGACCTGGACCCCGTGGAGCTGCCCATCTGCCTCCTCGAGTGCACCAACGACGCCATGGTCTGCGCCTCCGGCTGCCCCGTCACCGGGAACAACGTCTAGCTACCCAAGCGTTTTTTTATAATTACATTATTAACCCCGCCATTTCACTAATAACTACCGACCCAGCGCGCTACATATATACCATATGCAAAAGGATATGCATGATGATGACTATATATATGTCCTGTATCACCTATGAATGTTGTAAGTCGCGTGCAATATTCCACATTACTAGTCCCAATGGCTTGCGAAGACGTCGTTCTCACTATGTTCGTGGAATATGTACTGTTTCACAGTTCTAGTACAACTTCATAATAAAGGTTACAGCTTGTTGTGCATGCATACAGTCATGGATGTCCTGATATGGTAATCTCGAAAAGTCGAAATGATGTCATATATTTTACTCCAGTAACTTAACATCGAGGCCAACCAGATAGAGCATGACGAATTGACGATAAAATAATCTAACGAAGGTGGGTTTATAGGTGTGAGAAGTTATCAATCAAAGGGTAGTATGTTGCCGGAGAATCGGAGATATTAGCCATGACTGAATGACAGAAAAAAAAGATTGTGCATATTTTTGTTGCCCAAGATATTAAGTCATTTGAAAAAACTAATGAACCTATTTTATTTCTAAAGAAACTAATGAACCTAGTTAATTAGTCAACTGTAAATTACTAACGTTTAATAATAGAACAGAGGATACAACACCATGTCATACAAATACTATAATTGGTCATAAAAGGACATCAAAACCCAGATAAAATTAAATGATATTCTCTTATAATATCCTCATATAGGGAGAATAATACAATAAAAAATAATGAAAAAGACCTGCATCAAGATGGCAACAAAAAAAATAGCTACTGAATTTGTAGCTACAACGTTAGAATAACTACTGAATCTGTAGCTTGAACGTTAGAATTCCTTCGTTTGGTACTACATGAATTACGCCTTGTTTAGTTTCACCCTAAATTCTAAAAAGTTGCTACAGTACTTGTCACATCGAATGTTTGCGTACTTAAATGTGAGCGAAAAGAAAAAACTAATTGCAATTTGGTGCTTGCCAAACGTTTTGAGCCTAATTAGTCCATGTTTGAACACTATTTGCCAAATAAAAACGAAGGTGCTACAGTAACCCCAAAATTCAAATTTCGCGAACTAAACAAGGGCTTAGCTCAATATGAGTAAAGTTGAAACAATACTTCGTTGCCGAGGTTCAGATACCCATTTGAATATTTAAAAAAATATACAAATAGGCCAACAGCAATACTAAAAACACGGCAAAATAATCTTGACAATTGGCACCGTTCGGCTTACCTTAAAACCGGCTTGTTAGACTTCTTTTTTCAGCCACAACAGTATTTTTCTCTCATAACAATTCAACCAGAACAGTGTTTTCCGCCAAGTTTCAGCAAGTTTCAGCAAGCCGAACGGGGCAGCATTTATCTGAACTTAAAGATGATAATATACTTTTCCCCCAATTTGATTTAGGGCAAAACTAATAGACCTATAATTTGTAACTCAGGTATCATTTATTAGTTTATAAAGCTGTTTTCGCCCTAGGTGAAATTGCTGTACATATAGCTAAGAACGGGGGCTAGGTTCTCCCTCTCCTTCCATTACCCTCCAGCTAAGATTGTGCATATTTTTGTTGCCCAAGATATTAAGTCAGTTGAAAAACTAATGAACCTAGTTTTTTTTAATGAAGAAAAAAATAGAGAAGTTTGATTTAGGACAAAACTAAACAGACCTATAATTGGAACTCAGGGAGTATTAGTTAAAGCTGTTTTTCCCCTGAGGTGAAACTGCTGTACATATAGCTAAGAACCGGGGCTAGATTCTCCCTCTTGTTCCACCCCGTTCGGCTTGCTGAAACTTGACTGAATTGGCTGAAAAACACTGTTCTGGCCGAATTGTTGTGAGAGAAAAACACTGTTCCGGCTGAAAAAACAAGCTGAATAGTGTGGATTATAAGGTAAGCCGAACGGGGCCTTAAATCCTCCAGCTTTACAGAAGGTCTCGGGGTGATGCTTTTGCAAGGCCTCTGAGATTTCCGATCGTGTGGCTGGAATGGAACACCACGCCCGATTGGATGGAGCTTCCTCACCTGAATCTCCACCTGCTGGGTGGTGACGAGGGGAGGCCTCACACTCTCGGGAAGGGAGACGACACCCTCAACGTCGATGGCGAACCCCTGGCTCAGGGTGGCAGCGAAGCGCACCATCCGCGTGGTCACCACCCCGTCGTGGGAACCGGCGGCGTCGACCATGCACCGCACCGTGCTGGAGGAGTTGAGCACCACCACGATGGCCCTGGTCCTGCTCAGCACCCGGACCGACCACGGCGTGCCGAAGACGTGCACGTAGACGCTCGCTGCTGTCTCGCCGAGATCATTGATGCGCGTCCACGGTCCCCCGCTGAACATCTCGTAGGGGACGACGCCGTAGGGAGACGCGTAAGGGTCCTGTCGGTGTTTTCGGTCCACCGACGAGTAAATTTGTATTTACGCGTTTGGCTCGGATGGTGTGTTCGGAGGACACAAGGGTTTATACTGATTTGGGCGGAACGTCCCTACGTCTAGTTTACTGCTGCTCGTGTTACCGACACTTGGTTTGAAGTAGGGGTTACAAACAGGCGAGAGAGGAAAAGGATCCCAAGTCTCTGGTGAAATGAGTGAACAGGTGCTGAGAGCTCGATTGCTGCTTGGCCCTGTGCTCGTGTCGTGCTCTTGTGTTTTTATATCGTGGTTCGGTCTCGTGCGGATCTGGATCCCCTTTCATGGGGCGCTCTGCTTTCCCTTTTATAAGCGAAGGTAAAGCGCGAGTTACAGCGGAGGAAAAGGAGAAGAACGATGGAGAAGAAGGCTTCTAGGATCGCCAGGTCCTTCTTCTCCTTCATGAGGGCCCCGCCGATCCTGTAGATGTCAACAGGGACGGCTCCACGTCGCGGCCCTATTCGTCACTGGCGCCATGCGCAGGCGTCATCTGCCGATCATGGCGTTCCATTCCGCCCCAGCGGACGTCATGGTGAACTGACGCGTCTGTCGACGTTTGTACGAGGGTTAGGCAGAGTAGTACCGGCACGTCCGACACTGTTCTTGATGTGAATTCTCAGGTATGGCCCGTCATGGCCACGGATTACATCGAGGCGTGCCAGTCTCTTCTCTGGTGAGTTTTGACCCAGACCCATACGCTTGGACCTAGAGTGGTTGGCGGCGGTATGGGTCTCCGTAGGACGAGACGGAACCCGCGTCCTTAGGGTCGGGCGAGACGGAGCCCGTGGCCTCGAGGTCGGGTGAGACGGAGCCCACGGCCTTGAGCGAGACCCCCGCGGCCTCGAGGTCGGACGAGACGGAGCCCACAACCTTTGGGTCGGGCGAGACTTTTTAATACGTGTTGTCCCATAGGGTTTTAAGTATCCTGATATCGATACCCGATAGGTTCACCGCCTTTTTGGCCCTCCTCCTGCTCCTAGTGTACTTCTTGGTGCCGGTGGCTGAGGCTAGCGACATTAGTAGTAGGTTCTAGGCTAGGGACCTTTGAGAATTGAGCAGTCGATCCTGACTATCCGTGTGCCGCTTCGAGCCCTCGACTGACGTCTCCAGCCTCCAGGAGATCGGGAATCGAGATTTATAGCGAAAAGAAGGTTCCAGCCTCCAAGTTGGAGTTGAATTGGCATCTTATTCGGAGTTGAATTGGAGCTTTTTTTTGTGTGTGTGTGTGCCACAGTAGCGGTCGCAAGGTGAAGAAAGAATTTGAGTTTTCAGCCCCCTGAAACACTCGTGTTACAATCTTGGACTTGGAGTTAAATTGGCATTTTATTCGAAGTTGAATTCGAGTTTTTTTTGTCACAGTAGCGGTCGCAAGGTGTGAAGAGAAGAAATTGAATGTTCAGCCCCCCTAAACACTCGAGTGTTTTTTTTTAACTACGCAATTCAATTTAGACACTTACAACGTACACACAGTTATCCATATGAACACACGCATGCAAAATCTACTCTTATAAGTATTTTCGAAAATTAGGCTGGTATATCCTTGAGATTGACGAAGTCAATATAGACGTCTCACTGTCAATGAAAACATTGCCTACCGCTGAAAGCACAACGCCGTTAAATCTTAGAATATTCGCTTCCACAGGGAGTAGAACCTGAGGTGCTACCGAGACTCTTATAACCACTAGGCTATATACCCTTTCGCCACTCGGAGTGATACATAGACATATCCTTTACAAATTATAATGCTATTTTGTAGTACAGGGAAAACGAACTTCACTAATCATTACTGCATTCTGCATACAGGTTGGCCCCGTTCGGCTTACCTTATATCCGGCTTGTTCGGCTTCTTTTTTCAGCCGGAACAGTGTTTTTCTCTCACAACATTTCAGCCAGAACAGTGTGTTTCAGCCACTTAAGTTTCAGCAAGCCGAACGGGCCCATTATCTCATGTATGAAAATGATGTGACCCAACTTATACATAATAAAATACTATAATTCCAGTATATATACTTAAATAAATTCCATAATAAACCTTCAAATTTACGATCTTGAATTTTCATTGTCAAACCGTAGTATTTTTTTTGATGGGATGTCAAACCGTAGTAGCGTTATTGTTTTTCGACTGAATGGGGAAACGAACCGAGGCCCAATAGCGGTTGTAACATCAGGTCCACAAGAGGGAGGCCCAAACACTCCCATCCCCACTACTGGGCCGGATGGTCATTTTGTTTTCCGACTGATGAAGCACACAGCGCAAGAGAGTCAGCGACTCAGAGAGACCGGGAAGAAAGGGGCTGATTGGTTGCCCGAACCGGGCCATCCTTGTACCCTTTGTCTGCTTCACCTCATTCCTCTGTTGTGTTTGGTTCCCGTCTTGCACACTTTGCCTGCTTCATTTCATTCCGCTGCCCTACACCATCCCGCACGGCTCCGTCTACTCAGGGCATGATTGGTTGCTCCGAGCTCGGTCATTCGGGATGAAGGCCCCATCCAGGCTCAGGATAGCCCAGCTGACACCGTTCACCCTCCTGTGTTTGGTTGCACTTGAGGCTTGCGTACTGAT